TTTTAGTAATATCTTCTGAAAAAATGATTAAATGTGCTAGACATTTGTCAAACGATTCAACAAATATAGATGGGTAGACGTGTGTTATTATTGATCTCAAATAATGGCTATGCATAATGCTAAAATAAATTTAACAGCCTTTGCTCCTAACTTTTTTTCCGTGACAGTATATTTTGGCATTTTGTCGGCTGACATTTTGTACCATTTTGTCCTAAGCATTTTTGGCATTTCGACTGCATGGCATTTTGTCTTCTTGCCAAAAATGGCATTTTGTCTAATTCTATTTTCTTTGTTCTTTTGTTTTATTTTTAACAATTTTTGCTTTAAATTTAAAAAATTTTATCTTTCAGATTTTAAATTATTTTTTTATTATATCTGCCTTATTATTTTGCCTATAAATGGACAATCAACCAATTGTAGTTGATCCTTTAACACAAATTGATGAACAAACACTTCAACGAGCATTAATGGTTTATTTAAAATATTTTTGAAATTTTTAAAATTTTTTAGCGTTGGCTTCTATTTATTTCATTCAAAAGAGCATTTGAAAATTTTAAACAATTTACTCAACAACCAACATTTTTGGGGTCAATTTTACTTTTATTTTTGTTTAGCCCTTCTGCTATTGTTTTCCATTTATTTTTTAATGTTATTGGGCTTGGATTTCGTGATACTATTGTTGTAGGTTTTTTTTTATTTTTTAAATTTTTTATTCTAAAATTTGGGGGGATTCTTGAACTTTAGAGGAATTTTTTCCCTATTTTTGAACTTTTTCCCTATTTTCACTTATTTTACGATGGGTATAAGTTACTGGGACCTCTTACGGGGAATGAATCTATCACAAATTTAATGGCAAATGACTGTCTTGGCTGAATAGATACTTCAAAAATCCTGGAGTGGATTTTGGACCTGGATTTAGGTTAGTAAGCTTGACAGGATTCTTGATCTGGATCTAGGAAAAATCCAGAACGATCAAAAAGCCTGGATCTGGACTCTGAATCCAGAAAAAATCCAGACTAGATCCAGATCCAGACCGATCTCTAATTTACTGTGAGTATGACTTTGTTTTTTTGTACCATTCGGTAAAGAACTTACGACTTTTTATTTCGAAGTAATATCCCATTTTATTCTTTGGGCTTATCTGAAATAAGGGAAGAAATGGAAATAAGGGAAAAATGGGGTCCCTAAAATGAAAAATTTTTACTTTTTAAAATTTTCTTAACCAAAGCTTTTATAAGCTAAAAAAATTTTTCCCTGATATATTTTAACATTTTTTCTTCTTTAGTGTTCATTGTGCACTCCATTCGTTCTACTTATTATTTTATTTGTTGTTTATCTTCAATTTTCTGAGTCTCTCAGGCACTTTTTCTTCATTCGGGTATTTTTTTAAATTAATTTTTTAAAATTTTTACCCCTTTAAGATGATTAATTTTACATTTCCTGAGAACTATTCAACTATAGCAACCAACAAAAGTTTGGATTTTGCTTCCCCTTTGGTGGTTGTTTATGCATTGAAGTCTAAAGATCCGATGATTAGAGTTTGTTTTTAACGAATTTTCTGGTAAAATTTTTTTTTAGCTTTATGGTCTGAAACAACTTCAGAGGACTTGTTGTGGAACTCCAATGCAAAGGATACCGCTTTATTCCTTAAGCCAGCCAGGTTATTTTAATTTTTTTAATTTATTTTTTTGACTTGTCTTCTCTCTCTAGATTCCAATTAAGGTAGCAATCTTGACGATTTTTCTGGGTCCTCTCTCCCGACACGCCGTCACTAGAGAATATTAAACTGATATTTCCGCCCTTAAGCTAGACTTGCTACCTTAGTTTCAATTAAAACTAGTGACCGAGACTAGATCTCAACAAAAATCTTGTGATTGTTATTTTTCGAGATATCGACTGAATTCTACTATAACCCTCCTTGTCTGGTTTTAATCAAGACCCTGATCAATTAGATTTGCTTATCATTTTTCAAAAAAAAATTTTTTTCTTGACAATTTTTCACTCATCCTGTCCTAAATTCAAACTAAAATAACCCGAAAAATTTATTTTTTTGTGATATTTACCAGTTTCTTACTAAAATATTTAGGTGAACATCCACGTAATTGGCTTGCACTTCGTGAAGTTTCAGTTCAACTTATTCAAGATGTTATTTACCATTTACAACAACAAACTAAATTTCATTGTGTTGGCGTTGGAGGAAGAAAAGCAGCCATTGCTGAATTTATTGAAAAGGATGGTTCTTTTTCGGCTACTCCAACAGAGAATGTTTCGCCAACAATTGTTTTGAATGAGCTTTATGAGGGAAGGAGGTCTTTATTTATGCCACCAGCATTGAAACCTAGATCAGCAGGTTTTTATTTGTTAATTGCTCTAGTTTTTAAATTAACTGGGTGCCATTGAATATTGGAATAACATTCTTTTACCTTAGTCTGGTCTGGAGTGTCGGTCGATGTTGTATTATAGAGATCGAGCTTTTTGAAAAGCCTGGTCTTGTTCCTCGTCTCTGGGTTTGATTTTTAGGTACTTTTCGGTTCTGCCACACCCCTCCCATATATTCGCAGGATATTTCCTTCATACGTACAGAATGGTCAGACTTCCTCCTTTCCAGGTGAAATTGATTGAAGGGAAAACTGAGTAAAAAATAATCTTTTCTTTATTAAATGCCTCTCATTAAACATACCACAGGGAAAATTGAGGGAATTGAATAAAGAAGAAAGCTATTTATTTATGAAGGAAAAATATAAAAGGTAATTTGCGAATATATGGGAAGGGTGTTGCAGAACCGAAAAGTACCGATTTTTAATATGGCCTGGATCATGGGACTGTAGTCCAGGATAAACCCAGGCTCAGGAAAAACCTAGGGAAGCCAAAAAATCACTGGGCATAGTCTCTGGGTACAGGAAAACCCCAAGCCTTGGTCCAGACCCAGCTCTATCTCTATTGGATTAAATGTCAAAAAATTGATTTGGAAAAATTTTGGGATTGTGTTTGGTATTTTTCGATTAAATATCAAGACTAAATTATCGAAAATTATTTTTTAATAAATTTTAAGGATTATTTTTCTCTAGGAAATTGAAATTTGATAGAAAAATTAATTTTTTTTGCTTCCATTAATTTTCTCAATTTTTAGAACAATTCCAAGCAGAACTCCAACCACGCAAAGTCATTCGCTTACCATTTTTTGTTGAAGCTTTGTTGTTAAAAGCAAGTCGACTTTTCTTTTTTCTTTTCCACTCACCAATTTTGGGAGCTTATGAGACACTTTGTGCACTTTTGGCTATTAAAGGTTTTTTTTCTAAAATATTTTTCTGAATTTAATTTAATTAAAAAAAAAACAGTTTTGTCACGTACAATAATTCATTCGATAGAAGAGGATCGTTTTGGAGTTGTTCAAAAAGATTTAAAATTGTGTATATCAAAATTGACACGTTTATCCATTGCTATTGATGCTTATGTTAGAGCTAGAGGAGTGGGTATTTTATTTTTAAAAATAATTTTTTACTCAAAAATATTCGTGAAAATTTTTTATTTTAGAGAAGTGCTACGCCTAGCAATATAAATCAATTTAATGTGCATCTTTTGGATGTGGAATTGGCTTCAGCACTTAAGGACATTAGAACAGTTTTTGCGCCATATATTGAGTAAATTTTTTAATTTTATTTTTTAACAATTTGCACCCAGGAATGTCCACAATTAAAAAAATTATTTAAATTTATAAAAGGTTTCGTGATGGGAGAGGCAGGCCCGTAGCCAGGATTTTTTTTCGGGGGGGGGGGGGGGGGGGGGGGGGATTTTTTTACGCCAAATTTTTGGCGCCGAAGGCGCCAAAAATTTTTATTTTCAGCGCCGCAGGCGAAAATTTTGAGAATTTTAGAAGGCCGTAGGCCAAAAAAATTCACTTTTTCGGCGCCGCAGGCGCTAATATTTTGATTTTCAGCGCCGCAGGCGAAAATTTTTTGAATTTTGGACCTCAAGAAGCCAGATTTCTTCCTTTTTTAGCGCCGCAGGGGAAAATTTTTTAAATTTCAGAGGCCGTAGGCCAAAAAAAATTCACTTTTTTTGCCCCAGCCCTTCCCCAAATTTTTCCATTTTCCCATTTCGGGGGGGGGGGGGGAATTCCCCCCCCCCTCACCCCCCCCCTGGCTACGGGCCTGGGGAGAGGGGAGTTCTTAAGAGAGTGGGGGTTCTTAAAAGTCAGTTCTTAAGTCCGCAGTCGTAATCAACGATTGCGAACATTCACCTACATCATTCCAACAAATAGGATCTAACAAGGAAACCTTTCTAACTTTATGTAAAAATATTTAAATAAAAATTATGCAGTTGTGTGATCAACAACCTATTGCCAATTTTTAGTTTTTTTCAGACCTGGTCATGAATACGGATATGGATACAGAAAATACCAAAATGCCTGCGGATATCCATCTGTATCCGCCGTAAATATCCGGATACGGATATTAAAATCAGTATCCGTGACCATGTCTTGTTTTTTTTCTCCGACCCCCAAATCGAAAAGTTGTAGAGCTTCAAAGTTTCACATAGGTAACTGTCCGGGATATGCCGTCTCACCTCTCGCCGAATTTCGCCTCTTTTTTTAGGGTGTTTCGCCTTTCACTTTTTTTAAAAAATTTTTTTACACACCTCTGGTGCTCGATTCCAATAAAATTTTTCTCTTTCTTTAAAGTGATCTGAATCTTCACCCAACAGAAGCGGAAGTTTTTCGAATGCTCGTCTAAATTTGATGAAAAAAGGAATATTTTTGTCGCCTTTTCGATCTCTTCAAAATATTCTCAATTTTAAATCAAAAAAGTTATGTTTGTGCTATGGTTTACTTGAAAACTTGAAACCTTCAGGAATAAATTATTTTGTCAAAAAAAATTTTTTTTTAAATTTGATTACTTTGCGTTATTCTTCGCTTAATTATTTTTTTTTGACCTAGAAAACGAGCAAATTTTTCTTTAAATTTAAGCTTTTTATCTCTACTAATTTTTTTGATTCTCAAAATGGCTTCAACAAATTCCGAAAAACAGCGTCCCTTTGATTTTTCAAGGTACCCTAAACGAAGGATTGCAATAATGTTTCTTTATCTTGGTTGGGATTATGATGGGTTAGTTAAACAAGAAAATACCTTAAACACTGTAGAACAGGTTTTCTTTTGAAAATTTTTTATTTTAAATTTTTTCTGAAAAAATTTCCAGACGCTTTTCAATGCTCTAGTTCGCACAAAATTGATAGAATCAGAAGAAAATTGTGACTGGACGCGCTGTGGTAGAACAGACAAAGGAGTATCGGTATTTTTTAAATTTTCTAAAATTAAAATATTTTTGTATTTTGGCATTTCGACAAGTAGCGGCGTTGACTGTCAGGTTAAGAAAAATATTTTTTGAAATTTAATTTTGGAATTAAATTTTTAGATCAACAGATGTATCATGCGAATATTGTTTTTGGTCAGAGAGAAGCTCCGAGCCTGAACAACGTGTAAAATCAACACAAGAATTGCCTTATGTTAAGATGTAAATATTTTAATTTTGTTGGGGAACTTTTTTAAGTACGTTATTATTTATTGGGATAATGTTGGTGAATGTTCGCAAGCGTGGATTTCGACTGCGGATTTAAGAACTGACTTTTAAGCTGGCTTGGACACTTTTTCTTCAGAGCTTTTGTGATGACAGCTACTCTCTCGCATGAAAAAGACAGAAAGTATGGAGAAGTGATAGAAAAATACGGAGAAGAGAACATTTCTTTGGCTCCAGCTGACCGCTGGTCAGGTTTTCTACGTCTTTTTCATGTGAGAGAGTATGTAGCCGTCATCATAGAAGCTCTGAAGAGAAAAGCTCTGTCCAAGCCTACTTTTAAGAACCCCCTCTCTTAAGAATTCCCCTCTCCTTTCACGAAATCTTTTATAAATTGAATTTTTTTTTCGATTGCGGACAATCGGTGTAACCTGTTTAAAAATAATACTTTAAAGGCTCAATGGTGTTCTTCCCAAATCTATTCGTGTGATCGCTTTTGCTCCAGTTGACAAGGATTTCAGGTTATTTAATATATTCTTCAATTTTTCCGAAAAAAATTTTTTATTCAAGTGCTCGATTTGACTGTATTGAACGTGTCTATACATACATTTTCCCCATGGCAATGGCTACAAATTTGATGGTATTTTTAAAATCTTTTAAAAAATTCTTTAAAAATTAAATTTTTTAGGAAATCAAAAATGCCTGTCAACGTCTAATCGGATCACACGATTTTCGAAATTTTTGCCACATTGACAAAAATACTGGAAGGATTGATATGTCCTATATTCGAACAATTAAAGATGCTAAAATTGAAGAATTGGGAGAAAACAATTTTTCTTCTTCCAAAGAATTTAATCTTTTAAAATTAACAATAAAAGCGAGTGGATTTTTGTGGCATCAAATTCGATGTATTGTGACAATACTTTATGAGATTGGCTGTGGAAATGAAAAAGCGGAGGTTTTTTTTTTAATTTTAAAATTTATAAAAATTATTTTTTTAAGTTGATTGATCAACTTTTGGATGTTGAACTTTTTCCTTCAAGGTTTTTAAGTTAAAGGAAGTATCTAAATAAAGGCTGGATTTTGGGAATTTTTTTCTTAAAATTTTTGGGGTTTCATGTTATTTTTTATTTTAAAATAATATTTTACAAGGAACCTTATCAAACTGTGATAAAAAATTCCGAAATTATTTTTTCTTTTTTGACCCTTTCTCTCATTTCGAAAAGTTATAGGGGTCAAAGTTTTCAGGGGAAAATTTTAAAGGAATGGGAGGGTGACTTATAATTTATTTTCTCGAGTAGTTTTTAGTTTTTCCAATTTTAGAGGGATGAGAGGGGAAAATAAATGGTTTTAGCAGTCCCCTGAATTCTCCATTAGAGTTGTTCCGGGGAGACGGGGTACAAACGGGGTACAAACTCTCAAATTCCCTGAATTTCGCGGACTGGGTACACTCCTACTCGCCATGATGCTTTGGATACTTCCATAATTTTTTTAAAAATAAATTTAGTTTCTTTTTAAGGCCCCAATACAAACTAGCAAATGAATTACCACTTTGCCTATTTGATTGTACTTTTTCGGACGGTCAATTGGATTGGGAGTATGATAAGGGAACAATTTGCAGTGTTATTGGTAATTTATTCAAAGAATTTTTTAAAATTTATTTTCTAGAAATTTTACAAAAAATATGGGCTGAACATCAAGTCAAGTAAAAGAATTTTTTTTTAAATTTCCCAAAAGTTTTCTCTTAAATTTTAGAGCGTCTAATATAAGACAAATGCTTGAAGGACTTGGAGGAATGATCAATAATAAAATGGAAAATGGAGAGACTAGCAGGGAAAATGATATTAAAGGATTGGATGAATTTATTAGAAATGGACCTACTCCAAAGGTTTTTTTAAAAATTAATTGGAAATTTTTTGAGGAATTTTTAAAAAAATTTTTTTGGTACTTGCCCGTTATACGACCGCAAACTGAGTTCCAGCCGCCTTTGATCAGCTATAACTTTTTAATGTGTGATCATTCCTGATCCATCAAATTAAGAAAAAGGTACCGCTTATCGAGGGCTTTCGAATGATATAAAATTCATTTGTATTGGATCAAGGTTGAAAAGTTATGGCCGATTAGAGTCGTCTGGCATTCAGTTTGCGGTCGTATATAACAAGAAAATACCAAAATTTTTTAAACAATTTTTTTGAGATTTTTTTTACAAAAAAAAAATTCAAAATTTTCAAAACAAAATTTCGGAGAGTTTTTCAATCAATATTTTCGAATTTTAATAAAATATTTTTAAAATCATTAAAAAAATTTTTTTAAAGAAATATGAACAAATTGCAACAAGACCTCGTTGTATGGGCCTTTCAGAAATTCGTGATAAAATAAATAGAAAAAGAAAAGCAGAAGAAAATATTGAAGAACATTCTTTGGAAGAAATTAAAAATGAGGATGACTAAAAAATTTAAATTTTCAAGGGTAATTAATGTTTTTAAAGAATTTTAATAAACGAAAAAAATAAGCTGGGACAATAAATAAAAAGTTTACAAAATGTCTCAAAATATTTTAAAAGAAAAATTTTCTATAAGGTTTTTGGACATCTAAAAGGAATTTTTTTAAATTGCAAGGGACAAGTCAATAATCTCTAGATATGTGTGTCGCTGTTGTATCAAAAACTTCATCGACCCCTTCACTGGTTTTTGCTGGACATTAAACAAATTGTGTATTAATTCAAGCATAACTAGCAAAAAAATGTGGCACGCGTCTCACGCGGGCGCATACATTAATTCCTTTGAAAAAGCTTGTCTGAATTTTACTTTCTATCGCTAAACAAAGTTTTTCAATTTATCGACACCCTAATAAGGACCAGCTCTAAATTTGGCATATAAAAATATAAGAATGCGAAGAAAAAAGTCACATTTTTTGAAATGGAGCAATTAAAAAATTTCAGATTCATGTCAATGGCGAACAGACGTGGGCGAAACGTTTCGTTTCGTTTCGTTGTTTCGTTAGTTTCGTTATGTTTTTTCCTGTTTCGTCTCGTTTCGTGACGAAACACTTTTTAATTTGATTCGTTTCGTTTTGTTAACGAAACACCTGTGTTTCGTTAACGAAACATTAGGTACTTTTTAAGCCAAAATATCACTTAAAAACTGAAAAATTTTCCACTTTGGTGATGGAAATTCAAAAAATTTTTGCCTGCGGCGCTGAAAAATGAAGAAATCTGGCTTAAGGATCTATTTTCGTCTGCGGCGATGAGAAAGGACCCCCTCGTAAACCTACTCACTGATGACCATTAGGTTTTTTTTCAGGGTCATTAGACCCTGAAAACTTACAAACTTTTGATCAACACCATTTTTTGTTTTTATCTCTTTACAAGTTTAATCAGTCGATCTGTAGGATTAACGGAGCTAATGAGGGGTACAGAGTTGACCCCCTTTTTAATTATCTTTACAGCCCGTACTGGGAGTATCCGCAGATTAATCTTTTTGCATATTTTGGAGGGAAGGACCTTGGCTTAATAATCAATTACTCATTCGGTAATGCGACAATTTCGACCAATCCCGATCCCGTGTCGGGATTGGTATCACCATTCCAAAATCCAGATCCCGGTTTTTCTATAAATCCCGATACGCTGAACTCTAGATTTAGGTGAGATTAAGAGAAAAATTGGCTAATGTGACCACAATTTATGGTCCACATAATTTTACGATCACTTATATGTCATAATTGGCCAATTAACATGCTTAAAATTGTGTAGTTAATAAAATAATCCAGATTTTTGAGATTTTTTTCGAAATTAAAATGTTTCGTTTTGTTTCGTTTCGTTAAATTTTGACTGTTTCGTTTCGTTTTGTTAACGAAACGATTTTTAAAAATTTTTGTTTCGTTTCGTTTCGTCCGAAAAAAATTTGGAGTTTCGCCCAGGTCTGATGGCGAACTTTAATTTTACTTAAAAAACGAGAATGTAAAGACATACACATTGTGTTAGAAAGGATAGAAAATTTAAAGAATAAGATAGAACTTCAATACTATAACGTATTTTGTTTTTGCTCTTCTTTTTAATAACAAATTTAATCTAACATCTTTTCATCATATTCAATACTCAATTCCTTGAAACAGATTTGGGATATTCCTCACCACGTTTTCGTTTACGTTGGCGTGGTCGGTTTGGCCCATGCTGGTTCTGTCGACTAGTTCCCGTAATTGAATGGTCTACTTTAAACATAAAATGATTTTTTCTTTTAATTTTATTTTGTTTAAATACGATTAGTTCCCAATTATATCGTAACTATACCGATATAACCAAGTTAAAATAGATATTTTCAGAAGAAATCTTTGTTGTGTCCGCACTTGCAGAAAGAACATAAATGAAAATAAATAGCCCATCATCGGGTTGGAGGTGGCACAGTCGGTTGTGCTTCGGTTTGGGCTCAGCCATGATGGTTCTATTCCATCTCCCATCCAATGAATTTTTCCGCAGTACGTATACAATAATCTCCGGATGGTTTTTATGTGGATTTTATTTTGGCAATTACCTTCCTTTATAATCGCTTGGTTGTTAAGTTCACTGACATAATTGTAAATTTTTTCCATGTCTACCATAATTCCGTGTTTATGTTCTTTGAGGGTTTGAAGAGTAGTGTTTATTAAATTAATCTCTTTATTGATTGTAACTAGTAAGTTCTGATCGTCCTAACAAATAGGAAATTAAAATAATAGGTGGCTAAATCGAATCATTTTATTTATGTAGTTTAACTTTCGGCCACTTTCCAAGTGACGAACAGTGTTTATAAGCTCGTACCAAAATTCGTACTCGTACTTAATTATGAAATATGAGTAAGAGGCCGAAATTTGGGGTAGTCCAAATTAGGGGTGGTACGAGTACAAGCAAATCTGAAATTTATAAACACTGGTGAGGAAGTTACTGGATAGGTAAATAATTCTGACTTTCCATGTCTCCGCTTAACTAAAATAATTTCCCTCTTCCTAATAATTTCAACATAAAATGATTTTTAAATAAACAAAATAATATTTTTTCACCTTATAATGTTCCTTATCATCTAAATAGGATTTTAAACGTTTATTAAATACATCGGTTTGTTTAAATAAATCATTGAATGCACTAAACAAATTAAGACATTGTCTTGTAACGTTTGTGATTGGTTTGACACTTCGTTTATCTTTATTTTTAAAAATAAATTGTTTTTATAGTTAAAATAAATGGGGACGTTTTGGCGCGGGGAAGTTTTGGCGCGAGCTTATACAACAGTGAGTTGCTTATCAAAAAATATAAAATTTTGCAATAATAACTCTCGTGTGTTTATCTATGTTCTCCAAAAATTTCAGAATTTTTGATCAAGAATTTCGGAAATTGTGGCCAAAAATGTTGATTTTCTGAAAAATGCCTAATTTTTCGAGGTTTATCGGCTGTAGTTTAGTATATGCCCACCGAGATCGAAACTCAAGTTATATACCATTCGATTCGTCTCGCCGAGCTGAGTTCAAATATGCAAGAATTTTCTGCCGGAGACGAAAACTCGCAGAGATACAGGCCTCCGAAAATCGAAAAACCATAGGGGGGACCAAGCACTATTTTGGGGTGAAAAATTCGAATATGCAAATGACAGCTCATTCGAAAGAGCTCCTCGAGCTGAGTCTAATGACACCAAAATCAACAAAATCCGACTTGATTGGACAAAGTTGTGATCTTTTATTTTAGCTCCTTACCTATGGCATCTGTGGAGATTTTTGCTGCTACGGAGGCCCCAAATACGTCCAGAGCAAGGGAGATAGGAATAGGTTTATGTTACGAGCCCAGACCCAGCGCCCGTAGACTCCCCGCGAGGCGCGTGCCGCAAAACCCCGCGCGAAGCGCGGGGTTTTGCACAAGCGCCTCGCCGACGACCCATAGGTTTAGGTTTTTTTGTTTTTTGTGTCATAACTTTGTCTAATCTTGTCTAATCACGGTGATTTTGGTGTCATTTGACTCAGCTCGTCGAGCTCTTTCAAATGAGGTATTATTTGTATAAAAAATTTTTTATTCCAAAAATCGCCCCTTTGGATCTTCGATTTTTAGAGGTCTATATCTCGGTCCAATCAAGTCGGATTTTGTTTGTCATTAGACTCAGCTCGAGGAGCTCTTTCGAATGAGCTGTCATTTGCATATTCGAATTTTTCACCCCAAAATAGTGCTTGGTCCCCCCTATGGTTTTTCGATTTTCGGAGGCCTGTATCTCTGCGAGTTTTCGTCTCCGGCAGAAAATTCCTGCATATTTGAACTCAGCTCGGTGAGAGGAATCGAATGGTATATATAACGATTTTCGATCTCGGTGGGCATATACTAAACCGACCCCGGTTTATCGACTATAACTTCAGAGATATTCGATGAAAAATTCTGAAATTTCTTGAGGAGGTAGTCAAGGATGTTAAAGAAATTTGAGAAAATTTTTGTGAAGTTAGGTCTCGCCTAAGTGCCACTTTGTTCTCGCGCCAAAACAGCACGGCGCCAAAACGTCCCCAACCCAAAATAAATATATTACATAACGGCCGAACTTCTATGCCTGGACAAGGCAATGAGTCACCAACTTTGCCAAGCAAAGTAAGAATTTTTCCGCTTAATTGCATAAAAGCCTATTAAAAATATTTAATATTTTTTATGGGGTCACTTTAGTACGTGGGTCCCGGAGTTAATATACAAATGTTATACCATTCGAAAGAGCTAGTCGAGCTGAGTCGAATGACACCAGTTTTAGCCCGAGGAAAAATTTTTGGACCGAGATATAGGTCCCCGAAATTTGAAAAAGCATAGGGGGGACCAAGCACTTTTTTGGGGTGAAAAATTCGAAAATGCAAATGATACCTCATTCGAAAGAGCTCCTCGAGCTGAGTCGAATGACACAAAATCAACGAAATCTGACTTTATTTGGCCGAGTTACAGACACCCGAATTTTGAAAATTTTTTGGGTCAAAAAATTCGAATATGAAAATTATACCTCATTCGAAAGAGCTCGACAAGCTGAGTCAAATGACACCAAAATCACCGTGATTGAACAAGATTAGACAAAGTTATGACACAAAAAACAAAAAAAACCTAAACCTACGGAGCGTCGGCGAGGCGCTTGTGCAAAACCCCGCGCTTCGCGCGGGGTTTTGCGGCACACGCCTCGCGGGGAGTCTACGGGTGCTGGGTCTGGGCTCGTAACATAAACCTATTCCTATCTCCCTTACTCTGGACGTATTTGGGGCCTCCGTAGCAGCAAAAATCTCCGCAGATGCCATAGGTAAGGAGCTAAAATAAAAAATCATAACTTTGTCCAATCAAGTCGGATTTCGTTGATTTTGGTGTCATTCGACTCAGCTCGAGGAGCTCTTTCGAATGAGGTATCATTTGCATTTTCGAATTTTTCACCCCAAAAAAGTGTTCGGTCCCCCCTATGCTTTTTCAAATTTCGGGGACCTATATCTCGGTCCAAAAATTTTTCCTCGGGCTAAAACTGGTGGCATTCGACTCAGCTCGAATAGCTCTTTCGAATGGTATAACATTTGTATATTAACTCCGGGACCCACGTACTAAAGTACAGCCTTTTTTATTTCGCTATAATAATACAAACTTCATGTTCCTCTGTTTGTTGTGTTTCTGAACCCTTTAATGGATCCATTCCAAATAATAAATGAAAAAATTGAAGAAAATGAAAATTTAAAAGAATTAAATTGTAAATTTTCATCTTCAAATTAAATAATAAAATTTAACAAATTATTTTTAAATTTATTTAAAGACTAATATGTAGCAATAAATCGACTCCACTATTAGCCTTAATTGGCATGTCAATAAACATTAATCGAATTAAAATTGATTACCGGTCTATAATTGACAAAGCCGCCCTTCTTATGAAAGATTATTCAATGTTTTTTAATTTTGAAATATATTTTTAAAAAATTTTGAAATTTTAATATTAATAAGCATCGCTTTTATTCTCTATATTGTGTCAAGAAATTATAAGACTATCTGAAATTTCCACGGGTTTTCAAAGAAAATTTACACAACTTTCTCTTATCGAAGTTTGATAGGTGCTTATTGTTAGGTTGATAAAATAATTATAGAACTTGGAAATGGTCAGGCGAATTTCGGACAGAATAATTCTGGATGATCTACAAGCATAGAGAAGATTGTGAAACTTCTGTAAAGCATATAGCTATTAATTTCCTAAGCCTGAGCAGTAGGCGGCGTGGTGTAATGGCTAACACATCAGTCCGGTCTACTGAAGATGCTGGTTCGCTCCCAGCCGCCGAATAACCTTTTGCTCTAGCTAAAGGAGAGAAATAGCTATAGCCCAGCTGCTTTACTCTTCAAAATTTACGTCACACCCAAATATCAGCGCAAAGATTCAAACATTTTTAAAATACTCGTGGTTCGAAGAAGGATACTTAAGAGAAGAAGAAAACGAATATTCTAATTTCCCCCATCGTGTTAAATATTTCTTCACCAAAAATCAGCCTGCGTGTTGTCAGCGCCCAAGTTTTAGTGATTCAGTTATGATTAGATTATACCTTTGCTTGTGATTTATACCTTTGTCTCCGTTGTTTTTGTTTCATATGTGGTTAAAAAATAAAATGAAGATGAATTTTTTATGGATGAGATAAACACTCTTGTAGGAAATTTAAAGGGCTTCCAGAAAAGTATAAAATGAAAATTTAATACGACTTATAAGGGGTCTGAAATATTTTTTAAAGACGCCTACTCCCAGTTTATCTGTTGATTTTTGGATTTCGAGATCTCGATGATGGGAGTCTGAGTACTCTTATTTTCAAAAAAAATTTTTAAAAATTTTAATCATTGGAAAATACATTTAAATAAATAAAAATTTTAAAATATGTCACAAAGTGAAAGAAAAATTTCTATAAAGTCTTTGGCACATTTAAAAGGAATTCTTTCTTAAAAATTGCCAGAAACTTCTCTGGATATGTCTACTCTAATATAATAATTATACAAGTTCAGAATGATTGCTAAAATGATTAATAATCTACACATATTAACTAGGAGAACTCCCTAAAAAAGTTGGAAGCTCTGGGTTCTTTAAAAAAAATTTTTTTGCAACAATTCAGAAGAATTTTTTGTCAACTACAGCCCATAACGGCGCGCGACCGAAAGGCGCAAAGCTATAACTCGATGGAAAATTTCTGGCCCTTATCAATTTTGGTACCATTCTCTTTAGCTCGAGGAGAGGAAATGTTTAATACTAAATTTGGTAAGATTCGGAAATATTGAAGCAAGTTATGGCTTTGCGCCGTTATGGCCGCGCGCCTACTTGGGTACCCAGAATTTAGAGAATGTCTAGTTTACGAGTCAATCAAACTTTTGTGAGTCCAATCGGGAATTGGATTTTGAGCTTATCTTCCAGTTAATAGGACACATAAACTGAATAAGGACAAACAATGGTGATATTGAACTTAACAGACCCCATTTATTCATTCCCCAAGTTTATTCATATATGTATATTTGCAGAATGGTCGGACTTCCTTTAATTTTCCTTATTTCCATCCAAGAGCGAATAAAAATTAATTAGTTTAGATTTTTTAGACAAAATATAGAAGGGCAATTGGGATAGAAGAAAGGAAAAAAGTCTGACCATTTTGTAATAAATAGAAAAAAATTTGGGGAGGAAAAATGGGGTCTATCAGGTTCAATAT